ACAGACAGACAGACAGACAGACAGACAGACAGACAGACAGACAGACAGACAGACATGTATACCTGTATATTATTATAGTTTCAACAGGGCACACGATGGTTTGATAGAGAAGTGATTCAAATGTTTTATCTTCATGGTCGCAGGTAATCAATCTGTCTGGAAAGCGAAATAATAGGCCTACTGTTAAAATACGAAATATAAAATACAAAATAACAGTATTTAGTCAGTTAAAGATGCGGGAAAAGAGTTCCTATTCGACCATCCACAGCTTCAAAGGTCAAAAGACTTGAGTCCGCTTGTTTGATTTCACAGATACAACATAAAAGGAAGCGCCACACTTGAAGTTGTGCTCAACACAACCACGTCCAGCGTCTCTGTCTTTCCATGGAACTCTACTGAAGAAACACACGGGGAATGGGTCTCTCAGCGAATACCCATTTCTCAACAGACAGACGCACAGTTCAAGGTTCAAACAAACCTCGTTATCCTTCTTTTGTGGTTTTTTGTTTGTTTTTGCTTTATTTTGAGTTTTTTTCGGGGGGAGGGCATTTTATACCCGTTTTAGCTTTCCTGGGCACTGAGTCCATGCCAATTCTCCTCTCTATTACCGTCGTCGATTACGTTGTCTTTTATTTCTCTGATTACTCGAAGCGTCATTTGAATTGTGATTGCTGAGGTGTCGATAAGGCCAAGAAGGATGATGGGTAGAGAGTGGAGGAGGAAGGGGAGGAAGAAGAGGAGGAAGAAGGGGAGGAGGAGGAGGAGATGATGATGATGATGATGATGATGATGATGATGATGATGATGATGATGATGATGATGATGATGATTTAGAACGCCGATGATGATTCCTAAAAGTATTTCCTAGAACGTATGTTCCGTGGGTCGCCAACAGCGGCGCAACATCTGAACTTCTTCCAATGGAATTGTGTTTTTGGGTTGTTGTTTTTTAGTAAGCTTTTACGGCGCTCGCAACTACACAACGTCATATGAGCGACAGGGGGTGGATGTTAACAGAGAAGTCCAAACGGGGAATCAAACTTGCTCTGCTCACCTTTCTAGCCTCAACAGCACAAAGTCTGCTTCGACCATCAAGGCACCCCGGAAATAGCAGTTCGCAAGAGAGTGACAACCATACAAAAGAAGTAGAGGAAAAATGACGACAGTAAGGATTAGGAAAGAAAAAGCAGTAGTACTCCCTATGTTGTTTCGGCACAGTATGAGCATGACATTGGTAAATCAGCCCATTTACAATTCTACTGTGCATAAGAACATGTTAATATCCTTCCTTTGGGAATGGTCTAAAGACAACTTCAGTCAGTAGCACTGGCCTTGTTGGGGGTGGGGGGTGGGGGGAAACTAAAGTTGTTCCCGCATCCGATCCGGACATTTAGCTTGCCTTATTAGTGAGGCAACTTCCTTGGCCTTCGGCACATTGTGGTAGGGTGGCCAGTTCCTTTCCTCACCGCCTTTACTTCCCTAACTCGAAGTCAGGTACCCATTACTGCTGGATGGGCAGGA